GAGCAACATCCTTCGCCTTATCTGAAAATATCAACAATTTAATGAAAGATAGTTGGTCTCAAAATAATAATAATAATAATAATAATAATAATTTTTTTTTTTTTTTTTAAATAATAATAATAATGATAATTCGCTTTCACCTTCACCTATCCCGTAGACCGGATGTAAGTCGGGGCGCCTTTGAAGATGAATAATGATAAGAAAAACAATTGCGAAAACAATAGTAATAGTAATTATAATAGTAATAGTGGCAGCAATGGTAATAATAATAGTATCAGTAGCAGTAAGTGGTAGTAATGATAATAATTATTGTAATAATAGTGGTACAGTAATAGTAATTTTCCCTGATATAACCCACTTACACTTATTAAGTGCTCAAAGCGCTTTACAATTATTCGAAGAACAGATGCTCCATTGGTTGCAATAGTGATCCTCTTTCGATCAAATATTTTATCTTTTCTAAAATTTTGGCGGCAATTATTTTTGTGGCTGAAAATGCTATCGTATACGTATACTATTTAGAAACAGACCTTGACAACGTGTAAGAGTTTATGTGTCTCTGATCTGGTTTAAGCCCGTTGAATCTTTGGGAAATGCAAAAAATAACAGCCAAAAAAAGGAAAACATGTGAGAGATTATCTATTGACGTCTCGACCGTCATGGAAGTTTCGGAGAATTTGCAAAATTTCCACGTACCTTTCCCAATCGGTCCAGAAGACAACGTTGTTGAGTACTGTGATGTCGAAGGGGTAGCTAGCCTGGTCGTAGACTCGTCTCCTGCCAACTCCGTCAGACCTGATGCACTCAATGCTCTTGGTTCCTGGAAGAAAAGTTAGAGGAGAGATTGGATGTAGTATTCCACAAGGTTAGAAAAGGATAGAGTTATGCAAGCCAATGGACCATGTGAAAACTTGGTCACTGCGAAGTAGGTAAGGTTGTGTTTTTTTGGTAAGTGTTTTACGGCGCTCGGAACTGCATTAGATCATATTATGAGGGCGCGGGACACATTAAACTTTTTCAGTTGGTCGGAAATTTTGAATTTTGCCCGGGTGGCGGCCGAAGTTTACTCTTATCGATTTTAGACCACCGAAGGATCTTTAACGTGCGCAACTTGCACACGACCCTCTGAGATTTTCCGCCCTTGTCCGAGAAGGTTAGGTGTAGATCTTTCCTGCCAGAAGATCAGGGGTGTGGCTGAAAGACAGCAGTAAGAAGGAGCAAAGGAGAAGCAGTAGAAAGGCAATAGAAAGAGTCAGGAGCCCAGAGGAGGGGGTAAAGGAGGTGAGGGGTTGGGGGCTGAAAGAGGAGACGAAAACAGATGACAGAACATTGCTCGAGAGCAGGAACGGAGCTGAAAGGAGAAAATTTTAGAGAAGAAAATTTTTCGGTCGCTACCCGGATTCGAACCCGGGACCTTTGAATGAGAGACCAACACCTTTACCTGTAGGCCCCGAGAGCCCCCACTGTGAAGTAGTAAGCAAGCGTATGGTTTTAAGTTACGTTATTTAAGAGGCGGGACATCCAAATTTATCGTCCGTCTCCGATAAGACCTGGCCAAATGAATTGAGAGCCTCGAAAACTCCACAAAACCACCCAGGTTCAAGAACCACTTTGAAGGAAAGAAACTAAAGTGGTAAGGGTTTTTTAATTAATTTCACGGTCACAAAGGTTTGTCACGGCAATCCTGCGGTGTATAGTACATAGCGGGAGAGGAAGGGGCAGGCAGAAAAAGAGATAAGAGACTGACACCTCAAGATGAACAAGCCTGAAGTTGAACAGTGTCTTGAGAGGAACAGAGAACAAAGAAAAACCGACAAAGCTGATTGCCAAGTCGTCTGAGGTACCCCCCCCCCCTCCCTTCCTAGGTTGATGACTAAGAGATAAGTACAAATAAATACATTCCCCAAAGCCCCCTTAGTGTGTTATAGCGGAAAGGAGGCAGATACATAGGCCGAGCGCACACCAGCAGGAGAGGAAAAGCATAAATCAGTACTTATCGTTAGACATTCTTGAATAATTTGTTTACTTTGATGTATCAGAACTGCTTTCCTCTCGCGGCCTTTCTGTAAATGCTTTGTTTGTGTTAAGTCAAGTGTTTTACATAATATAGAAGAAGAAAAAGAATGCTGTTCACAGCATGACACGGCTTCGAAAAAAAACAACAACCTAAAAAACAACAGTAAAATATGACCAGGATATGGTCTAGTAAACACAATCAGGTAACACATGTTGGAAACTGCGACCCTCTAAGCAGTATCAATCGAACTTTCACCCACAACATTGATAAAGATATCTTATTCTTTTAGTAAAGAGGCCTCAACTGGTGTGCTTTACGTCTTCGTTGCCAATCTAGACCCACTTAAAGTAGCATCATCAACAGTAATGTAGATCTACTTCTATCTACATTGTGACATGATTTTTTTTCCTCTTAAAAACGTCATAAACTGAGAAAAAAAAGACAGGGATCACACGTTTTCTTTACTTAACCCTGCGACCACCGAATCCCCTTCGGCCTAAGCCAAGGGATGACGGAAATGGTTGTACTGTAATCACACCTCAGGACACAGGTCAAGCTCACAATCCCTTAGCCGACAGGCTAGTTGACGGTCCTGTAGCCCGGGCAATGTTCTTAGAAGCCACATAAGCCCCTTGTGAAGCTGTTCATTCAGTATTACAGCTCTCTCAACAATGAAGTTCGAAGTTCTATTAGGTGGATGAATACATACTTTCTTTTGTGTGTCCTGTATTGGCCAAGATGACAAGGCCGAGGGTTTAGAGATTGTGATAAAAAAAAAGTATTGAAAACTTATTCATGTATTTCTTCCAATTTCTGAAATTAATGCCTCTGTTATGTTGTTTTAATGATACGATACTGTTATTGTTTTCGGTTGAATGTGGCCGATTGACTGAAGGCCAATGAACAGGTAAAAAGTTTTGTAGTAACACACATAATATTACTTCATTTTTCTTTTAATATTTCATATATTCATACTTACTTCTCTCCGAAGATCGTGCTGTCCTTGGCGTTTGTTCTTGATTAAATCCTCCAGGTTGCATTTATCTTCTAATTCTTACGTATATTACGTTTGAAAAGTTATACACAATGTACATTACTCTAAATCTGAAGACTTTGTGTTAAAAGTACAGCCTCAGACTCACACATAAAATGTCAATAACCGAGCGGATTTGTTTATAAAACTTGAGTCAACTTGGTATAAACCAGCTTAATTAAGTTTTGGGAATCTCCCCGTATCACTCCTGTGAAGACTTTGGAACTATTAGGTCACTTTATAAAACCCCTGTAAATTTGTTGAACTGTTTCAGTTTAAGTATGGTTTATTATGTCAAGCCTACTATAATTTAATCGAGTTATATGTGGAATCTTTTATATCAACAAACGGAGCGATCGATGAACGGAGATCGTACCAGCATCTCCCCAGCAGAGAGTCTGTGAGAAGGAATCGAAGGCAAGACCGTTGGGTAGTCGGAGACCGTCGGTGACCAGAACAGTACGTTCTGTTCCATCCATGTTGATGCGCTCGATCTGTGGACGGTTTCGGTTCCAGTCTGTCCAGTAGATGACTCTGTGAAAATAAAGATGAAAATAAGAATCAAAGGAGTTTGGGGGGGGGGGGTTAAAGGCGGAAGTAGATTTAAAAGATGTACGATGGTGACTTTGCAGACAAACAGTAATGCAAACAGATTTGACAGTCAACAGATATATTGTCAGAGATGATTGTTTTTGAAAAGACACAACCTGGATAACTGAATGTGTAGACGTATGCCTCTGCACCCAGTCAATATTACCCATACACATACTCACACAAACACACAAACAAACAATCAACACATAAACACATACAAAAAATACTGTCAGAGAGATTCTAAGCACACTGCATACTTTATATGCAACAAAAGGATTATCTTTTTCTAAATAGCATGTCAAGTTTGTTAGCTTTTTTACTGTGCCAGTTTGAGAACTGATTGACGTAAATTGTGCGAGGACAAATTAGATACATTATATTAGTCCCGTTTACCGCCCTCATTTCTTCCTAACTATCCTTTCCTGAAATTCCACTGACTTGTAAAATCAGATGAGGCTCCAAAAAAGATTATGTCTCTACGCAGATAACAAACGCAATCATCATCACTCACCCTCGTCTGACGTCCAGCACGATAGCCCTGGGGTTGATCATGTCGGTGCCGACCAGAGTACGAATATCGCTTCCGTCCAGTCGAGACACTTGCAGTGTGTCCAGTTCAGAGTCGGTGAAGAACAGGTTGCGGCCGGAGTGGTCCACGGCAATACCCTCAGGAGATTTCAGGCCTAAGGGGGAGAAAGTACAGAAAGAAAACAATGAGGGAGAATGGTGGGAAGGAGAGAGATAAAAAGAAGGAATACATTATTGAGAACACAAAAGTCAAAGACGACATCGGCAATGACGATGGTCACAATGAAAGGAGGAGGAAAGTGAGGGGGAGGGGGAGTAGGAATTGTTCAAATATAAAAATGATGATGATGATGATGTGACGATGATAATGATGATGATGGGACATTAAGAATTGTCGAACCCCTACCGGAGCATTCTGTGGAGAGTGTTTATTTTAGTTTGGCCTTTACTTTATTCTTCTTTCCCCACATGTAGTTATGACTATTGATCTAGTAATATCGACGACGACGTGTATAACTATGCTGCCATAAGGTGGAAAAAACGACCTATTTTATTCACAGCAGTATCGAGATACAGAGGCTTCTTGTCAGTGTAACTGTTTAAGAAGGTGTTCTTTCCGAAATTTGATTTCTAATTTATTCAAAAACTAGACAATTTCATTTTATTTTTTTCACAGATGTAGGGTAACTGATCAGGCTCGATTTAGCAAATACAAAAATTGGCCCCAAAAAATGAAAAAAAGGCGTTTTGTCAGCTTACGCAATATGGTGTTTATGGTTACAATATGGTGTTTTTTTTCTTACATACATACGTACACACGCACGCACTCACACACACGCACAAACACACACACACACACACATACACACATACACACTCATACTCACAAACACACACACACACACATACCGATACATAAACTTACATACACTACGGGGAATCAAAAAGTAATGCAAGTAGTTCGTTATTTTGCACAATTTTGCATCAAATTATATTAAATTCAGCTCACTAGTACTTGCACATGGGCTTTTGAACTCAAACTGTTAAAATTTAAGTTTCTTTGATTTTTGCCTGAATGACGTCACATCAAAATGGCTGCCCTTTTGGAGGTCTGTCAGAGGCAAAGAACTGTGATTGACTTCCTTGTTTATATCCAAAAGAAACTTCAAAATGTTTACAAGGACCAAGCTCTAGATTTTGGCACTGTATATAGATGTGTTAGAAGTTTGAGCAATGGACCGGAGAAAAAGGAAGAGGTGTCCATGTGCTTGTCAGACAAGCATCGTCCCGAATAATCAGATTTAAAAAAGCATGGCAACCGTGTTTTGGGACATTCATAGAGTGCATCTCACAATTTGTTTACCAAGAGGAACAAATGTCAATTCTGAAGCCTACATTGAAACACTGAAATGACTGAAAGCGAGAATTCGACAAGTCAGACCATATTTGAACATGGAAAGAGTGTTTTTTTTAACCGTGACAATGCCCGCCTGCATACGAATACCAGAACAAGGGAGACAATCACCCCGTTTGAATGGAAAGCACTGTCACACCCAGCTGATTCTCCTGATTTAGCACACTCAGACTTCCACCGGTCTGGTCCTCGAAAAGAATCATTGAGAGGTCAACACTACAGAAACGATGGAGAAATCAAGACTGCTGTACCCCCAAAGACTGACCTGCTCAGTTTTACAAAGCTGACATAGGTGGACTTAGTAAAAGGTGGACAGTGGCTATTGAACAAGATGGAGACTATTTTGAGTTATTAAAGAAATCTGATCCTCAGATGTTCCCCTTCAATTTGAGGTATGATAGTTGCCAGTGCGTTCTTTTTTCTTTAAGTTATGAACGAACTTGCATTACTTTTTTACTCTCCCTCGTACATACACGCGCGCAGATAACATCAATAAAGCAATAATTATTCTGCGTGACTCTGACCTGTGATGATGGTTTGCACGTTTGTTCCGTCCATCCTTGACCTCAGGATGGCTCCCCGTGCAGCGTCAGTCCAGTAGAGGTCAGCATTCAGACAGTCTGTGGCCACGCCCACTGCCAGCTGGCCTGTGAGTTTAAAATAAACAATCTCAATTAAGAGAATACGATTTTTATTTTTAAAAACACGAAATTATATCAAATTCACTTCAGATAAATATTCCATAATGGCGAAACATTTCGAGATTTCTTTGTCAAGGCAAAATTATGGTCTATTAAATTTTAACTCTACCTTTGACAGTAGTTGAGACGAGGAATTCATACTGTTCGTTTTTATGATCTATAATAAAAGGCCAACAAACAAGGCTGAATACTGAAATAGATACACGAATGAGTGAATAAATATGTAATATAATGTACCGACTGAAGGAAGGATGATTTAAATAACACTTATTATCTGTCATCGGGTGGGAGAGTGCAGGCGGTAGACTTACCAAATGTAAAAATGAATGGACCATTGAACATACGAACGAACGAACGAACGAACGAATAAACGAACGAGCCAGTACATTTAAAGAAAGAAATTACCTGGGATATACACGAGTTGTTGGCCATAGTCTCCTCTCCGAGCTTCCGAGGTAACACGCATGATTTTGCTGCCTTGTGCGTAGATGAGGAAGTTGCCCTCACGCACAACAGCTAGAAGGAAAAAAGGAATTACGGGTAAATGTTTAGTTGTACAATCAAAAGCACCTCGAGTGGACCTGCTATACAAAGATATGTTTCGGATAAAGAGAAGCATTTTGTTAATATGACATCGGAAGGCCACAATACTCTTTATTGTTTATGTTTCCAACCCCCCCCCCCCAAATAAGTGAACTTTATGATAAAGCAATGGAAAAAAAGTAACGATTTCTCATAGTTTTTATTTTAACACCATTTACAACGTTTGATCTTGAAAATAGTATATCGATGTAGATTCTCTCTTTAGACAATGTACTGTTTCAGTTTTTAGCAACTAGGAGTTCGCAATACACATATTATTCCACTGTATATGTAGCCTAAAGCGCATTCAATTGTCATTTTATCATATCTCTATAAGCATTTTGAGAATAACGAATGACAAAATAAACGGCTAGAGGATTGGTCTCGACGGGATGGGCGGGGGGGGGGGGAGGCTGGGGGGGGGGGATGGGGGAAAGGGGGTTGTGGGTTGGGGGGGGGGGGGGGGGGGGGGGGAGAGGCTGGGGGAGGGGAATGGGGAAATGGGGATTGTGGTTTGATGGGTGATGGGTTGGGGGGGAGGTGGTGGTGGTAGAGGAACTTCTGGAGGCAGAAATTGTTAGTGCTCAAGTTCTTTCATAGAAATTTAAACGTTTGAAGAAAAGGGAGGGGCAGGTATAATCACTCAGATATTGGTAAGAAAAAGAAACGAGTAACTCACACGACCAGGAATAAACCGTAAAAATATAGGGTAGGATGCCAACAAAAATATTGTGCAAAGAGGAAACAACTAAAGTGAGTACCTTTGGTAACTGGGTATGAGGAGGGAGGTGTGAGGAAAAAACTGGTGCGTTGTGGAATTGGGAGAAGGTATAAAATAATGAAAGAAAATATATTATTTTTATCTTTTCATAAATTTTGAAAGGTGCTAAGATATGAAAAAGAATCAGTGTTCGGGTGATGATAATAGGCTTTGTGCATGAAGTTATACTGTGCGAAAATAAAGGTGATAAACATTTTGTCTTCAGCGATATTTGGG